CTGCTTTTGGGTGTTTCGCATCCACTACAGTAAGCTGCACTAGTTACAGAGAGATTTTTAAAATAATATTACGAATTTTAATTATGCATTTTAATTCAGATATACAAATGTTTATTTCGAATTTTGAATTACAAATGCAACTCATAAAGAGTAATGTGTAAAGATGCTTGATTATTGATATACCTTATAATATTTTTCAAAAATATATTTCACTATATTATTCTAATAATTACTCAAAAAATTAAACAATCACCAAAGTAAAAGCGATTTCTGAACAAGTTAGTATATTTAACCTTTCTATATTCTGATACTTCGTAGCATGACAAAGTTATTTTAATGCGTGAAAGAAATTTACTCAATTTTAAAATATTTTATAAATGTTGATTTTATACATTCTAAAATAATATACTTATAATTATTCAATTACTTAATTCCTTCTGGTGATGAGTAAATATGCCGATGACGATCCTATTTTAGGACATAAATAATCACTTCTGAATGTACATCAACTGACCAAAAATGTGATGTAATGGAAAATTCTGCTTAATATTTTTTCTGACTGACCCTTGAAGTAAATCCGGATTTTTGGTCTCATAAAACTGACAGGTTGTAACGAATGATGTGACAGCGTGACGGATAGACCAATCAAGCAAGAGTCCAAGTGATTGATTAATTAACTTATCGATTGATTATCCGGTATAAGCTCAATCAATCAATTAATTGCTTTTTCTTGGCATTTTCCGAAGAGTTCCGAGAAACAGCGGAAATAAGTGATCCAATTTTTCTAATGCATAAATAATTTCAGGAAAAGGGTTTTTTAGATTTTTGTGTCTAATGTAACAGTTTCATTGCTTTTTGATTTATTAGTGATTAAAGAGTGAAAATGAGGAAGCTTTTACAGGAGATGAAATCTAAAACTAAAATTTTTTAAAAGAAAAAATACTTTCATATTAGGAATATCAAACATAGAAAACACTCGAAACATCAAACTTTTCGTACCATAAGGGTTAAAATGTAGAAGAAAAAAGTGTGCTTTCTTTCGTAGCGATTTAGACATTTCTCATGATTTCCAAAGATCATGCAAATAATTTAGGGCGTACATGGTATATTAAGAGATTTTCGAAGCAGGAAATTTGAGAAAATAAGCTATATCTTCTTCGGGATTTGAATTCTTAATTCTCTTCCGCTCGTTAGCCGGACGTGATACCATTTACACCACAAAGAGCAGAGAGTGAAGAAGAAAAACCTCATATTCTGCCGCATTTAACGGAGGTTTAAGTAACAAAGGATACAGGAAAATCTACAATAACTGTGATAACTACTCACACACAGAATTGACAACCGCCACGCATTTTTGATTGTCCAGTCGTCCTTCCTAAACTGTTAACAATTGAGAGTCTTCTTTACGAGCCGAACCACTACGATGATAACATTTTGCAGGTTGCTAGGGCTGTCATTTTCGCCTATGGCGCTATTTGAATAGGCTTTGCCATAGACACGACAGCAGCAACAACAACACTCTACGAAAATAAAATGCGCGACGTAAGAACGCGCTTTCATAGTTTAAAAACGTTTCATGCAGAGTAAACGGCTTAAAATGTTTCTAGGTAAATATGGTACTAGGATATATTTAGTACTAATATTTAAATTCTTAAGTTTTTCGCTTCATTATTGTACAGAAATAAATTAAACACAGAACTATAATAAATATTACTAATATTGCACCTTAACTTAGCCTGGATTTTCATTTTAAGTATTAGGCTTTTCTGTTTGTTTTACAAGAAATAAAGTTTAATTAGTAATGCAACAATATAAATATTTAACGAAAAAGCAGATTTTATAGGAATTATTTTTTGCATATTCTGCTAAATGCGCAGTCGGATACACGCTGATATTCAGTGCCCCAATTTCGCCGGCATACGAAGGGACTTCGACGCTTGACGTCACGAATAAAGAAGTTAACTTATTACCTACTTGAGAAATTAGTTCCATAATCTTCGCTGCGAAATGCAGTAATTACTAAATTTCATCAAACTTAATCTGCGGTAAAATAAAGCATTCATACAAATGATTGCGTTTCATTTTATAATTTGAAACAATAGAAAAGGAAAAAATATATATATAGACGTTGTGTTATGTATAATATAAGATAAATAAATATTTCTTAAAGATATTTACCGTAAAACTTAAAAACGAAATTTAGAATTTTGTAATATTAAGTAAATGAAAATGTGATAATAGATTTCCTGCATTATATATAAAATTTATTTTGTTAAAAGGTTTAATTAACTTTTTCAGAATAATCGCATTATCTTTTGTAACATTCCCTTAAGGTTTTTTTTAATTACTTTGTTCTTGTTACATTAATTATAATTAACAAAATAATGGACATCATTTTTCTCAAAAACTCTTAACCTATTTCAGTATCTACCGACTGTTATACTTAGTTAAATTTTTACTCAGTTGTGACGGTATTATTTTAATTAAATTTTATAAGCATTACTAAATTAAATTTGGAGCAGCAACTTCGAAATACAGAATAAAAGTATTAAGTTCATAGGCGCTCCACACATTTTGCATGCGAATCCAAAAAATCCTAAACGAGTTTCTTTTGCTGTTTACGCATAAACGAAATGCATTTTCTGAAACGTGTGCGAAAAGTGAATGCATCAACATCATCTTCCTAGGGTGTCTAGGTAAAATGAGACACGTTAAAAGGGAAAAAGAATAGTTTTATTTTCTTGCGCATGTAGGGGAAAGATCTCCTGTTACAAGAATACATTGCGTTTCTGAAAAGAAAGAAATTTTTTTATTTATTTTTTTATGCGGGGTTTGAAAGTAATTCTACTCTCAAGCTTTAGAAAGCTCTTATTGTCATTTTTGAAGAATTGTAAAATTTTTGTTTAAGTATTATTTAGAATTAAAAAAATGTGTTTTTAACAGTAATGTAAAATGTAGCGTTGGCAAGAAAGTAATTTCTGTTTTTTAGTGGGAAATAAAGATCAGTTTTTCTACATAAAAATTGAAATTTAATCTATCAAATAGCTTTCATTGTGTTCGATGACATTTTGGAATCTTCCTGGTAACTTTATAATTCCTCATTCATAGGACTTCTTCTCTCTATCAGCAAAGACCTCAACCAAGTGCGATTTAAAGTTATCGTTATTACTGATATTTTGACCCTTTAAGAAGTTTTGTAAACTTCGAAATAAATGGTAATCCAATGGTGCAAGCTCGCGTCGATCTGGCGATACGACATCACTTCCCAATCAAGCTTCAGTAATTTCGTAAGTCTTGCTAAATCTATACGAGGTCTAACATTTTCCGTCGTATAACACGATTCCTTTGCGATTTGTCAATTCTGGCGTAATCTCTTTGACTGCTTCCTCCAATTTCATAAGTTGCTGGCAGCAAACATTTAAGTTGATCGTTTGGTTGCTTGGAAACAGCTTACAATCTACTGAACCTTTGTAATTCCATCAGATTGGTAGCATGATCTTTATTTGATGTAATTTAGTTTTCGATATGATGTGTGCTGATTCATCATACTTAGACTATGATTATTTTCGATTAATGTTATTGTAGACGGTCCATTTTTCATTACCAGTGAAAATTCGTTTAAAAGAGGGTCAATTGCATTACGCAAATATGATCTCTTACGCTAAGTGAATTTCTAATAATTTTACAAAATTTCAAAATGCTTTCTTTTTTGCGATCGACAGAACAGCTTGCCCACTCACTGGGTTAGGTGCTCTTCAGCCTGTTGGGTCGCGTCGCAAAACAAAAGTACTAGAACTTACTTCTATGTCCTCCGGGAATTGGTTACGTAACGTGTGGAACACTAAAAGAAAGGACCAGAACATGGAGAGAAATTGCTTGATGGGAACTGTTGAGACTAAGGGGAAAATGCTGATCACCACTTATCTTGAGAAAAGTTGATGTTGCTTGCAAGGAGGTACTGTCATTGTCAAGTGCAATATGCTCATGGTTATAATGCATACTGATAGTTATACAATCAAATTTTGAAAACAATAAGTGCATTACCTGAAGCTTTGCAGATTGGTGCTATGTTACGTACTTCTGCCAGAGATGCATTCGATATTCAGGCATAAAAAATAATTGTTATTAGTAAAATCAAGGATTTCTATTATGATTGCTGAAAAGAGTAATGAAACATTTCGGGAAAAAGGAAAGATTATTTGTTGAACTTTTGCAGCTTCTAAAAATATGAGAATGATATTTGATTTTGATTACAATCAAATAATTACTGGATACGGGCGCTTCTCGAAGTATTTGGAAACATTTAATTTGCAAAGTAATAGTATTTGTAGCTTTTGTAGTTCTGAAGAAAATGCACACTAGTACACTACATATCGTCGAACATTACATATTATTGCGACATGTTAAGTGAAAACATAGTGACAGAAAGGAATTCTACTGCCGCAATATAGAGTTTAGATTTTGCAAAGGTTTTAATAAACATTATAAATGGCAATGGTGGGAATTTTGTGTTGATGTTTTTAACTGTATTTCTGCTTTAATCTTTTGTTTTGATCTTTCAACTTTTTTTTGTTTGTCTGTGTTGGGTGTGCTGAGTTAACCATGAGGCCGATTATTATCGACCAGAAGGGTTGCAGCACACTCGTACATTATTACATTACATCGTACTTCTCCTAATTCAGAACATATTTTAGTTACATTTTGCTGTCCGAAAGTTTGTATTCGGCGATAAAAATTTCGATTTAATTCTTTTTCCCTGGTTATCCTTCGAAATTTAGCTGTTGATTCTAATTGATATCATTATTGAAAACTTTAAATGCATTTCTTCTTCAAGCCATTTTGCATATTAAATTGGCAGATCTTCAGTATTACCACTTGGATATTAGCAATTCATGTTTTCATATTTACTGATTAGTTTCAATAAAATTACTTTATTATTGGCAGTATTACAGTTTATTATTATGCTAATTATTTTTCAAAATTGTTTTATTTATTCTTAGCAACCACTGGAAGAAGATGGAGTATCAAGCATTGAAGGATATTACGTGGGGTATAAAATATCTACGAGCCCAGAGCCTTATACATTTATCCCGGTAGACAATTCTCAGAAACATGAAATACAGTCCTTTGAAATATCTGGATTGAAAAGGTTTACAGAATACAATTTTATTGTTCAAGCTTTTAATAAACGTGGAGCCGGTCCGCCTTCAGACGCAACATCTATTAGGACATTAGAATTTGGTAAGTTTTTCTAATATTTGATTGTACGTATGCAAAAAGCATGTTTCGAATACTTTCCTGCAAAATTACACTGTTAAAATAATTCTCCAAAAATCAAATACTTAAAATTTGTTGAAATTTAGAATTTAATAAAATTATTTTAGTTTAATTTACATAATATTTTATAAATAAATGCTGTAAAGCGGGTAACAAGTCAATATTCTAAGGAAATCGTTGTTTCTAAATCAGAAAGCATATTTCATTACAGATATGCATAGGACACAATACAAATGAATTTAAGCGGATTGTTACTTTAAGACGAAACGTTTTGGACATATTATGAGGTATAATTTTCAGTAATGGACATTTAATTTTTCTATATGCTAGCCATGATGATTAGAGATTTTCTTAAGCATTGATATGTTATCTACAACTGCATTAGCTTCGACTGTACCTATACTAAAATTGGCATGATACAAAAGTGATTAGCACGGCCCTGCATGTTATCTCTAATTCTTTTTCGTAAAACGGTGTGCCTTGAGCTTTGAACTGTAGAATCTCAGCTACCTTGTTTTCTGAAGGCGGATTAAAAATAGCCTATAACTATATACGTGAGATGTCAATTCATAAGAATTTTACGTGTTCCCACACGTCATTTGAATTCTATAGTATTACTCTGCTAGCAGACAACAGAGTCTTTCCTGATATTTTAATATGGAAATCAGGATATTTCTGCTCCATTCTATCGAATGTGTATTCTAAGATGGTTAATGGATTTAATGTACCTATGTCTTCAATATCTAATGTTTAACGTTTAATCTCTAGTGTATGCAATTATATGTTACTGTTTATACAACTTAATGTCTATTTTTAATGTACTTAATATGTACTGCATGTTAAGGAATGTAACGTAAGTGAACTATAGCACCACTACACGTACAATGCATGCTAATATATGTAATGTAATTGAATCATAGCACCAATATATCACTTTGCGGCACGGTGTGCCCGGTCTGGGCACACCTAACAAGTTCCTTCTGTACGCACAGAAAATTTGAATGAAAAAGGATTTATAGGTTACTCTGAACCTTCTTTATTTACAAGAAAAGGGCCGCCCAACACAAACCAGTCCATATACTTTAGCCATATTTAGCTTTTAAAACCCTTATTTTTCAAAGAAATCTTCCAGATTTCTTTTAGGATATAAAAGAAATTGTTTGAAAACAAATTTCTACGTTATTTTCTTGTCTGCATACTAATTTCCTTACTCTATATTAGTTTTAAATTTTTACCTCGAAATCTTGTCAAATCAAACGGCGAACATTAGGTGTGGTGCGCCCAGAGTGGGCTCACTGAGAGATTAGGACAAGACCAACAACTGTATCTTTGTTTTTCTGCAAACAACGGTCAGTCTATTCACAATAGAAAGGTGGGTCCACTTCTGTGTTTCATTTCATGTTTTTTTCTTTCTTTTTTTTTAAGGGGGCGAAGGTTTGGTTATCAATTAAGAGACTGTTGGGGTGATTTTCTGAAGATCAGGTATAATTTTATCAGTTAGTGGTTTGGTTTTTCACTAGAGCAGTTCTCGTTTTCTCTTTCGCTTTCGTTCAAAGAAGTTTTGTTAGCGCTACGCTTTGACAGTTTTGAGTTGTAGACGTTTATTTAATTTTATTTTATAATTTATAATTGTAGATATAGTAGTTTATTTATAGAATGTGGAAATTTTAATATGGGAATGATTGTGAAAAGCTATATCCAGTTCATAAATAAATGGGAATAAAATCGTCAAGGCTCTGTTGAGACATCACCATTCTTATACCGGGGAAGACATTGATGCTTTTGTGTGTCTCCCTACTTTCCATTCGTCGGTGCAGTGTCGGTCTGGATAATACTTTCTGGTGCTTAAGAGTTATCGCAAACAACTTAGTAGAGGTTTCCAAAATTTAAGAATGTGCCAAACTCTAGCAACCATGCTCATAAAATCTTTCATTCAACCATCCTCATAACCATTTTTCAGGCAACCATGCTCGTAACAATCCATTTGTTGAGCAAAGTCTCCGTCGGGATGTTTATTTCCTTAATTTTAAAATATGGGCTTGCGGGATTTGCCACTAGTGGAAGAAATTACGGTAGTATTTCTGCAGGAATGCATAATTTTGCCTTAAATGTTTTAAAGAGAACAAGGAAGAAATGCATCTGGTAGGTATCCGCTATTGCCGAGGTTTGCACATTGTCCAGTCTCTGCAACTCTCTGATAGGCAGATAGCCCTAGTGTGCTTTGCCGTATTCTCAATACACACACACACAATACACACGCAACTCTCTGATGTGTCTTCAAGCGGAAGTAGATCGCTGCATACTTGGAGAGAAGAGTAGTGGGACAAATAAAATTACAGAAAGATTTGGGAGAATAATGTAGGTGTTTTATTCTTTTAATGCTCCTTATTTATTAATTTAATATCTCATTTAAACTTGTAAAAGTAGGCTTTCTTTTCACATGTTAATGTTTTCTGACTTCAAAAAGTGTCGATAGTTTGGGACTCTTGTTCAAAAAGTCACGAAAACCACGAGTTTACACCTTATAAGTATCTTCTACCTTTTTATCTGTAAAAAATCTGCCAAATTTAGCTAAAGTGGTTTCTATGATAAGACAAACAAAGATGGAGGTATTTTAGTTAATATTTTACTGATTATTAAGCATTAGAAAAATGCATCTTACACTTATGTAAGTACAATTATATTCTTTTATTTCAAATTTTACTTTATTCACGATGATTTATTTAATGGCATTTAAATAAACTCCATTTCAGTATTTCCATTTAATTAGTTCAGATTACCATCAAACCATAAAATGTGTCCACTTCCCCCCCATAAAGAAATTTTAGTACAACAGCATTAAAATTAATATGATTTATTTTCCATTAGCTATTATTTCAGAAAAATCCATAAGCAAAACAAGCTTTAAAATTAAATAAAAGGTTAAAGAGTATTAAGAAAACCTGACTCTTGAACTTTTTGAAATATAATTTAATCTTATATTCCCGAAAGGCTTATATTAAGAAATTACATTTTTATCTTTTGTTCTTGTGAAAGTCCCAAATCAATTTACCATTCCATTTCAAAAGTAATATTTCTTGCTCAAAATTATAACTTTCCGTTTATGTACTTATATGTAGTTTTCAAATGAAAATTTCATATATTTCGTATTTTATCTATTTGTTTATAAAATGCATAGCTATCAACAAAATTTAAAAAGCTTATCCTTCAAAATTATTTTAAATATACTTTTCAGAGATTATCAGAAGTTTAGATAACTTAACTCTCCGTCATTCTTAAAAGTTTTTCCATTAATCTTTTTATTTTGAACTCAATAGATAATGCATCATCGGAAAATTCGGAAACTGCCGTTTTCTTTTGACAGAAATAATAGCATCGTTTTATGTAGTCGTTGATATAGCCACGAATGGTTTTATATTTTTGAAGAATTTAATTTCTACATCTTTCTCAAGTTTAAAATTAGATTTCATTAATAAATCAGGAGACATAGTAGACAAAGTAATAAATCGCGAAAACGAAGCATTTTATTCCTACCAAAAAGTATCTGAGAAAGTTCTGTAGATACAAAATTGAAAGCAGTATAGATTTTTTTCATTGTCTCTTGAATATTATTAGATGCAGCTCATCTCATATTTCCTATGGTACTAGATTACGGGACCTAAGTTAAATCTACCTCTGTGGCTTCGATTGAGTAATGTAATAAAATAATTCTTAAAAATATTCCTTTCATTCTAATCCAAAACGAAAAAACTTCACATGTTGCTCATATAACCAGCGCTGTATTTTCTTTCTCTATTTATTTGCAAATTAAAACTCAGAAATATTATTTCAACTTTAGATTTATTCTGAAAAGTAAAATTTTCTTTTCATGTAATCTAAATATCTATATCTTCATATAAATTCACAGTGCGGAAGATTATTTCATATAATTCAAAAAATCATATTTTCAAATGCGAAACGTAAATAAGAATGACACTTCCCCAATAGAAGATGATCAGGGAGAAAGAAATTTGCAATTTTTCTTATGTTTTATTTGAAAAGAATTATTATTTTGTCAATTAGATATATCCAGTCTCTTGGCTGTATTCGATTATTAAAGTCTTTTTTTAATATCCAGAGTTAAGATACGATGTTTAAACAATGAATCTCACGTGTGTTGTAATTCCAAACTATTTTATTTGATATTTTCGTATCTAAAAATAATGAGATTGATAACTATTATTATGTAGATTTTTTTTTTATTTTAAAGCAAAATACGTAAAAAATTAGATAAGAATTCAAGCTGATTTAAAAAAAATATTAAGTTAGCTTAAATATCTCAGTTTGCGCAATTTAAGCTAATTTTTTAATATATATCTATTTATATATATCTGTAAAGGTCTAGGTTTAGAAATTTTTAGTTTTGAATGGAAAAAGATCCCAAATACAAGATGTATATTAACCTGCTAATGCTAGCGGTCAAACGGTAAAGTCGCAGAACACTGGTAGTTCAGTCCAACGTTCGAATCTGGTTGCATGGGCGTTTTCGTGTCTTTTTTTTTCTTATGCGTCACATGTATACCAGTCAGTTTCCCTTAGAAAGCCCTCCGCGAATGCATTCCTTCCGTTAGGCAGGTAACCCTCGAGTATTTTGCCGTAATCAAATAAATCGAAACCAAACCATCTCCCGGAGAAGGCATGGATGTAATTTGTTCGTCCTTTTGGGCGGCAACGATGGTCTACCTATTAGGTGTCTCCATAATAAAGTGGGGGCCCACCAGCGGACGAGTGGTAAAGTCGCTGAACACTGGTAGTTCGGTCCGAGGTTCGAATCCCGCGAACGGGCTGGCTGCATGGGCGTTTTCGTGGTTTTCCCCATGTGTAACGTGTATACGAGCCAGTTTCCCTTAGAAAGTCCTCCACGAAGGCATCCCTCCCCTTAGGCAGATAGCCCTCGAGGCTTTGCCATAATCACACACACACAC